ACTCCGACGTAAAGGACTTCCAGAAGATAACTGGACATGTTCATGTTGGTGTGTCTTTGGGCTCCATCATGTTACATTATAGAGTGCGGAGCAGGTGAGGGGTGGAGAGATGGGCCTCTCTGAGGGAGGGGTAAATTCAGTCCTCAAGAAGGGGGGTGGTGATCTGAGCACAAGAGGCAGACAGGACAGGAGGCTGGGGGTGAAGCAGAAGAAAAGAGAAGAGCAAATATACAGATGTGACAGCACAGTAGGTTTGAGAGAAGGACATACAGCAGAACGTGAAGATAACTCTCAACGGGGCTCTAGATCACATCCAAGATGGTGCCCATCTGGTGCTGACAGAGACAAAGGTTCAGTTTATGTACTATGTGAGGTTGCTCTGAGGCTCCAAGGTTCGGATTCTTGCTGCATCCACAGGCTCCTCCGCTCCTCCTCTCACTGTTACTGGCCTCTGTTTCCCTCCTGCCTGCTTCACATCTGGTAAGTGCGGAGTTTGGAAGTTCAGCCACTTTTCCCGCATGTCTCATCAGTGCTGGCTAGTGCTTTGGTATCTCCTTGAGTAAGGGGGTACAGGGTCAGGCATTCAGCTCTGGTGGTCGGTCCTCTGTCAGCATGTGTGTATGTGAAGCCCTTATAACTCTGTGTGCAAGAGCTACGTTGGTCCTTGGTGTGAATCTGAAGTGTCCAGGTGGGTCCGTCGATTCCCTCTCTGTCCTGATGCTCTGCTCTCGCTTCCTATTTCACCTGTTGAAGTCTGGTAATTTCTTCTAACTAGTTAGTGATGCTCACTCGGGCTTTGGGTGAATGCTGACAGGAGTCGCTCCTCCCGGCGTTCTGTGAAGGTGAGGTGACCTATGCACAGGGCAGCCGAGCGCCATTTGTGCTGGAGCCCCACGCCTGCTGCTGTCTGCCTTTGCTTATACAGACTGTATGTTGGGAGCGTCTGAAGCGAAATGTTCATCATAAACATTAATGGTATCAGCCCAGGTTCCTACTAGAGAGCTGAGACAATGGAGTTCAAAGCCCGTCTCTGACGGCCATTTCCGAGCATCCGGCTTTATCGTTGCATCAGGGCAGGGTGGGTGAACGACCTCAAATGGTAGCTCCACCCCTTGTTTCTGCTTAGTTTGGTGAATTTCACCTCACGGCGGGACCCACTTTCAGGGCAAAACCTAAGTCTGTTTTTCCAAAATGTTTAGAATACGGGTTTCTCAGGAGAATCACGGTCAGGCCACTGGATTAGTCTCGCTGTAGAAAACAGGAAATCCGCTTCCTGACAATTCAGAGGTGCACTCAACCACGGAAAAAGTTAAGAGAAAAAGAGAAAGAATATATGAGACAGATCTGCTTGGAAATAATTCTATAAAAACAAAAAAAGGAGTCAGAATGTGCTGCTCTGGGGGAGGGACAAAGGTCACTGCAACACAAAGCCTGGTGTTTCCTTCATCCTGTGCTCGGCCTGAGGGGTATTGACCCTCCATGCCACCTGTCACCTCTCCTCTGTAGCCATGGATACAGTGGTCCTCAGCTCCTTACTGAATGGAGTCCTTCTGCTGGTGTGTCTGGGACTGCTGCTCAGCTTTTGCGTCATCTGTGGACAATCGGGGAGGCAGAGTAAGTGCCCTGGCATCCGAATCAGCTTCAAACCCGCTAAAAGTGTTAATTGAAAATCACTGCTCTTTGAGACCTGAACCCTGTCGTCATGGCAGTAGAAGTGATAAAACGACAGGACAAATATAAAGGGCTTTGCCCCGATGACTTGATTCTTGTGTTGCATCTTTCCCTTTTTTTCCAGCTCCTATCAACCAGCAAGGCGGTTTCACCATAATCCGTGGTAAAGGTCACTAACGTTAATATTACCATTTCAAATTTTAATTAGCATAAACTGCAGAGGGTTGGGTGAAGCTTCATTGTGAAAATGCATCTGCTGTGTTCCCATGCAACAGTTTCTCAAAGCCAGGGATGATGCCAGAGATTTTTGGGTCCCATGAAATCTCATCACACAGGTTTCCCAACCCAGACCAATCCAATTGTGTTCCAGATGTTTTAGGTTCCCTGTCAGTCAGGAGCCCTTGGAATCGTCCCGCCCCCCCTTTATGGTGCCCTTGCTTAATGCTGCCCATCAATGCACACATTCTTAGTGTCTGATTCTATATCAATGTGACCATGATTTATGGATGATATATAACTTGTGTGACTGTACTTAGCAGGGTTCACATACATAGATGATAAAGAGGGTAAGTTAGACGAAGAATGTTTTTGCTGTGAATAATACATTTTCTTGTTATTACAGCTACAGTCGACACCCATGTGCCCAGACCCTGTGTTTCCAACCCTGCGATTTCCTTGTGGGTCTCCTCCTTCACTGCACACAGCCTGAGCTACCTTCCATGCTGGGCTGCCCTGTCAGGGCTCCAAACTGGAATCTGTGTCTTTGCTCTTTAAAGATGTCAAACAGACAGGACACGGAAGTGGCCGTAGGGATTAATCCCAGCTCTGACACCATGTGTGAGAAAACTGTTCTAGCGAAACTAACAGAAAATCTTTAGTTTATTAAACAGTACTATATTCACAACAGGTGAACAGTCCGAAGCGAGAATCACATACCTGCATGTAAATTGAAATCTCTCCAACAAACAGATGTAGTCCCCCATAGTCAAAACTGTCAGAAATGTTTGCGTAATGCTACCCTGAGGCTCAGTTAAGAACCAAAGAGAGATAAATAGTATGGAAGGTGGATGGATGGACAGCAGCTCCTGAGCCACCATCAAGCTGAACTGTACTCTGACCCCCCTAGGACCCCAGCTCCCTCCTCCCTCAAATCCCCTAGTCCGGAGCCAGAGCGCCGACCCTCAAACACTCCGACTGAAGACAATGGTGAGCTGTCTTTCATCTTTGTACAGGGGTGTCATTCTCACTTCCCTGCACTCATTTCTTCCTCACTCAGTTTCAGCTCTTCTTCTTGTTTCCTGTAGTTAATGCATTTACTGCACATTGGCTTCCAGGGAATGAATTCATGTGTTGTTCCTCAGTCTCAATGCGAGCTACGAGAATCAGATTAGTAGGTCAGGACAAAGTAAGTGCTTAAACTGAGAGCTGGAACTGCGTATGAACTCATGTTAGGCTAAACTGAATCCAAATGAAGTCCTGTCTGGGGTGTATATAAAGTGGAAATAATGTTGCTTTTCTCTGTGCTACCAGATGATAGCTACGTCAACCAAGACAGTGATTCTTACATGTGAGTTTGCATCCACATCGTTGTCCATGGAGAGAAACTATTCAAAAATGAGTGAAAAACAAGGACAGAACTCAGCTGAAATCTTTCTGATGAGGTGATAAGTTGTGCTTGTCCTGGGATGACTGACTTTGTGGTCATGTTAGTCATCCAGGAAGTCAGACAGGCCTTTAAGTATGAGAGTCAGAAGCTGAGAATGGAGATTAAAGGTCACATGCTCCATATTATAGGGGGAGTGTGGCTCTGTGGCTTAGGTCTCTGTACCGATATTCAGAAGGTTGTCGGTTTGAATCGGGTAGTTGGCTGTATAATGGAGTGGGAGTGTTATTCGTCACTGTGTGTGGTTGCTCTTTGCAGAGAGGTCCTAACGGATGACATACCCAGCAAGCCAAAGTACGGGTCTCAGCCCAGCCAGTCTTCAGGTACTATG